GCAGACGTAGAACACTCAAGAGTGTATCAGCTCACCTGGTGCCTCCCAGCTGCTAGGGGCCAAGACCGAACGGAGGAGACGTCGTTGAAGGCAGCTGACTTGCATCGTTGCATGGTTACGATGGGAATGCCGGTAACAACGGCAGCTTGCGAAGATCTTGTCCGATCGTACGGTTACAGTGCCGGGATGTCATCATCACAGTATGCTGAGTAGATACGGTTTGGCGGCTCCTGGTGAGATCAACATGGAGGAGTTCATAGCAATGTTAAAACTGTGCTGAGATCATATCTTCTCTTATGAAGCAGATTCCTTTCGGGTTGTCTTCGACTTCGTTCGCATCGAAGCGATAGTTGATCACATGTCTAGCTCAGCGGCTACGTCTTTTCACGACAGGCTGCAGGAGCCGAACTGAAGACGGGGTTGTATTCTTTTAGCGGAGCGAAGTTAATGGCTATTGCCACCAATATCCAAGCAATGATGGTCGAAATCGACACTGAGTTGACAGGAGAGGTTAAACCCGAGTGATTGAGAAGTCCTTGAAATGTATCCGATGTGTTCATATAGGAGGCTGACGAACTACTCGTCAAACACGATCGTGCGACAAGGATGAGGTGACACTGGGGCAGTTTGTGGCCATGATCGGGGATACTAGTCCAACAGTGAGTATGTCAAAGATGATTTGAACTACTAGACATAAGCATGTATGAGACTTCTCTCTCGCGCCACTTGTTTTGCATTACATGTAGTCCGCGTCGACGTTGAGAGTGGAGATCTCTAACGATTTGAGTAGCTCATGACAGAAGCTAACTCGAGGTGTGGGTAAACAGTACCACTTACTCCGATGAGGAACACACCGTAATCAACAAAGCACCCATCATCCACTCTTAAACACAACATCGCAGTGAATGTGAGATGATGATTGACTAAAGAAGCTTCATCTGAAAGATATGCTTCGTAAAAAAGAGATTGACCCCGACGGCGACAGACTATCTAGGATGACTTCTCACGATATATTATCACCGGTGATGGGCTCTGATATTTGACTCCTCCCCAGTACAACGTCTGAGTCTCCTCCAAAACTGGAGTATGAAATGATACTTCTGTGCCACGATGTACGAACGATCATCCAGAGAAAAGCTGCTCCGTGTTGAACGATGAGCAATAAAGGTTGGAGTGGACGCTATGTTCTGACGTACTTATGAACAAATTAGTTACTCGAATATATTTCATTGAATGTTACGAGGATTGTTCCCATTGGCAGCTATAGCATGCCACGATAAGAATCCCAAGCACAAGGCTGCGGCGAACGTATTAATGAACGAAGCGAGCTTTGCGCCTGAGCACGACTATTGTGAAAATGCGAAAAATGATCAACATGGCGAGGAGAATACCCATATCAAGACCGACCAAATTGGCGTATATCGAGTTAATCTCAGCAAGAGTCGGCTTATCAAAACCAAACTCAATGAAGTAACCAAGGTTCACGCCGTACTTGAGATAGGATACGTACTGTCCCCAGCGAAGCCATACAGGGATCCTCTCAAGATTAATGAAAAGGCCTGAGAAGGCGATTTGGGGAATGAACAGGAGGGGCATCAACTGCATAGCTCTGTTAACAGTTGAAGTTGTAGCACCCATTAGCTGAGCAAGGGACGAGGATACCAGATGAAGTAGCCAGATGAGCAACAACCAGAACATGAAGTCGCCTTGAAGACCTACGATCCAGTAGAAGACTACAATCTGGAGAAAGCACTCGAAGAGTGCTAACGGTAGTTCAATCATACTCTTCGATATGACATAGGGGATCGCTGAATACATGCCGCTGGTGTACTCTCTCAAGAAGACCATGCGTTGCTCAGGGTAACGGATTATCGCTGTTTGAGCTGGACCGAACAGTTGCATCAGACACATGATCACTACAGCAGAGAAATAGGGCTGAAAAAGTCGCATGTTAGTCAGCCAGAACAGCTCTGATCCTGGTCTACCGGAGTCATGAAAGATGAATGCCAACAG